CCTCCACCCTTCATTTTAACCACTATCATCTTACATACCATTTTATAATGGTTGTCAATCGCCTTGGAATGAGGCGCTATGTAAATCTGTATTAAGAAGGTAGTAATCCTGATTTGAAGCTTTCGTGACTGCAGGAATCCATACACTTAGGTTCTTTCGGTAACGTCACGTAGGTATAATATAAAATAAATAACCAAAGAGTAAAGAAGGTAGTAGCGATAGAAGAGTGATACAGAGACAACGGACCACCGGTGAGCAAGCGAGTGCTGGCTCATCGATCCACTCGACGTTGAACGCTATTTTTAAATCCTTTATATTAAGTTCACTTGCTTGCTTGCGCGCTTATGATCGTGCAAATATTTCGGTCGTTTTTTAACCAACTTCCCGTGATCCAATCGAGCTGACATTTTGCACACAGACTCGTTGTACGTGACAATTTATTTTCGTGAAAACATTTTTCCAAAAATTTCCACTTTTTAGGGAAAAAAAGTCATATTTAATTTAAAATACCAATGTGATAAAAATGAAACTCTTACTCAAGAAAAACAAATGAATAATAAAATAAAACCGATGCCACGCATATAAAGGATTTATAGTGAAAAACTTTGTTTTTACGGGTTAATTTTTATCGACGAAACCGACAATCACAGGCAAGAATTGGTGCCGAATTACCGGCGGGGAAACTTTGTAACAAGAGAGTCCCTCCCAGGTGAAGGGTGGTGAGGAAGGAACGCCGTTACATGGTACACGGTGTACAATACAAAACATTTTAAAAGGTCCACGAGGCATTAAATCAATGCCAAAGCAAGTGACCGAAACACACTGTGACCGGGTTACCAATTGGGCAAGTGATATCTGGCAAACCTGCTCTAATCAGTAACAATCGGAATGTTACTAGCCCACCTATTAAAATAGCTGTGTGCGCTTTTATGGACACATCACCTTGTGCCTGCGATCGAATCTACCTTCAGCCCGACTACGCTGAAACACAGAAGCTAAGGAAGGCTGGGCCCTGGTTCGTGGTTAGTGCTTGGATGGGTGACCACCAATGCATACCCTGCATTGTAGGTGAATTGCTGAGGTTTGTCCATGTGCACAGGTTTGAGTGTTATGTCTTTGCACACACGGGCCTTCTCCATTTGCCCTGGGTTTTCTACCACATGCCAAACACTATCAATGGAATTTGCCAAACATCCCAATGCTGGACACTCACAATAAATAATATAATCGTACGACTCCGTGCGGACTTGCTGTGAACATATTATTGGTATTTGTTGACATTATGAACTCATACGTGTTATGATACCACACATTCTTCGTGCATCATAATGGCAAGAAGATAATCAATCTGTGAATCCATCCCCGGTTAACATCCCCAGTAAACAAAATCATGCTCACACGAAGAATATATTTGTGGACGGTGCTACCATTCCTATACAGTACATTTGTGCCACATGTATTCTTCTGCATTGTGGCTCAGCCTATAAATACTGTACTGTAAACCCAATGGACTTGAGACTTCATATGGAGAGACTGCATGATGACATTGAAGAGTAGGGCACAGAAAGCGATCTCCAGAAACCGAGTGTTCAGCGTGGTGTCGAGTCACATAGCCACGATACGCGTTTGTGTTGTTGCTTTTACTCTGCACGTCTCGACGGATGCTCTTGCGTGCTACTTCAGGACACCGTACACCTCGAGACCTCAGCAGCACCAAATAAAGACCTAAAACCAACGCTCCGAGCAGAAACACGCGGCCCTGGTCGTCCCCGAACAAAAGTAGCTTGTTAGCATGATGAACCTCATTTATAGTCAGGTGAGAGTACATAGGTGTGTTACATATTTTTTAAACAGTTTCACTGCGGACTAGCACAAATACCGTAATAGTAGGGTAATAGATATATTTTATAATTCTCAGCCCTTTGTCAATGCACTGCTAGATGAAGACCTCCCCCATGCCGTGTCGGTCACGGGGAATGCTTAAGCGTTACTTCACCAAACTAGTCAGTGCAGCTTCAAGGAAGAGCACAAGAAAGATTCCGATATCACTCGCCACTGATGTTAGCCACGACTGGGAATCTCACTCATGGCCAGAGGTCGCAAACGGATTTTGATTCCTTACCCGTACCCGGCCGCACCAGGGTCGCAAATGGGTACCCGTACCCGGCCGGGTACGGATTCCCGTTTCCTACCCGTACCCATACCCTACCCGAAATGAGTGACGAACGGTTACTCACCAGTGACTCACGGCCTACCCGTACCCGGCCGCACCAGGTTCGCAAACGGCTACCCGTACCTGTACCCGGCCGGGTACGGGTAGCCGGGTATCGGGTAGGGTACGGGTATCGGGTACCCGGTTGCAACCTCTGCTCATGGCACAGCGCATCAACCGCTGCACCACGCACTCTGGTGGGGGAGCAATACCAATTTAATCTCAGTGTGATTTCCCAGACAAAACTGGCTTGGGCATCTGCACAATGGTTCTTTCCAGCCTGTGTCATGGGATCTCTTATGTCCACAGACGTCAGCAGATGACAACGAACCCCTAAGAAGGATGGTGTGCATGGCTTATGTTTATCTAAAGCATTGCCAGCTGGATTTTATAAACTTGATAATTTGTTTTGGCTGCCATGACGGGAGATCAAACCAGAAATTGTTGCATCGCGTGTTAAGACCAGTGCCGAATGTGTTTGGAACTGCTGGTGCCATTCCGAGCCAATTTAATCTGCTGACTAAGGGCGATGAACGGCACCTGCGCAGAGACCAAATAATGTCACGTCCAAATTAAAATAAAATTTAAGGGCTCCCGTTGGCAGTGATTCGCAAGCACAGACTGAAAATACACTGAGAATGGCAGTCAAGTATTTTAAAACCGTACTGAAACATTTAGGTACGGTAGGGGTGGTGTGAACCCAGCTTTTGAACTCTCTGTACCCAAACTTGTGGAGGTCCTGCAATCATTGCGCTTCTCACATTTATGTAGTTAGCACGGTTGGCTACGTACGCCGCAAAATAAGTTCAACACACATGCATAAATGCACAGCTCTTTGGCAATCCACTGCTAGACGAAGACCTCCCAATTCTCCGTCATTTATTTCGCGTTTTGTGACAATACTTCATCCAAGCTGCGCTGGTCAGTGCGGTTTGATGGAAGCAGGCACCCAGGAACGGTCCAGGTGTCACTCACCACTGATGTTAGCCATGGCTAGGAATCTAACTTAAGCTGCCAGGTTCGTAACGCAGTGCGCGCTTACATCTGCACGCCGCCGCTTCTTCCCGTAATTTCTGCGTCGTGGTGAGAATGAAAACATTCGCTCAGCCCACTGCAGACACATGAACGGCTTCACCCTGCGTCAAGGCTCATTGAAGGGCACATCAAGAGAGCATTACTGTACATCCCGTTCTATCCAAAGCAGCAGGGCTGTGTTGCCTGTAGTGTCGCTTGCAGACCTGTAAAGCGGTGCTAATGTGCTGGCTAAAGAGAACCATTGTGGAAATTCATCAGCTACATCGCCAATGAGCTGATGGAAGGGACAGATGCTGATTAAAAGTTCTGAAACAAGAGGCAAGGGGCTGGGTGGGTAATTAATGGCATATGTCATAGGTGGGTGCAGAAGGCATGGGCAGTGATAATTTCTCATACCCTGTTTTCAAAAGACTTTCCTCAATGGACTGTTAAAATAAACCTGGTACAAGTGTACTGTGTATATATATACATACACGAGATTGCACATGGATACACACTGCGGTATTGCTTACGGTATTAAGTGACGTGGGCTTATAATTAGATTTCAGCAGCACTGCGGGGAAGAGGTGCCTTGGCTGGTGGTGGAGCATGGGATGACTTTTATCTGGCAGTGGATTAATGGCTAAAGATGCTGCCATTTGTGACAAGGATGATGATATACAGCCACATTAGGCAAAGTATGCTCAATACTGTGACTAAAAGCCAATTGCTACGATGCCATTTTCCCGAAAGTGTGTTTGGATCAATGTAGACCCTGCAGGGAAAACTGAGAATGATGAAATAATGGCCATTGTTAAAACAGATGGTAGCCCATTGATGTGGAACATACATGTTAAAATGCAGGTCTTGAAATCGCTCTCGAGTACAGATGGCCATTATATTTATTTTATAATTCATTGATGGTGGGTAGTGTGTGTAGCGTGTATGAAAGGAATCTTTTTCTAGCCAAATATCCCACTTATACCGTGAATAAAGTACCGTACGTTATCATTTGACCGATGATGGTCTGGGACGATTAATACCTGGGCGCATGTATAACGATAACATGCTTAATTGTATCACGATGGATACAATAACAATAATTCAGGAACCGATATACTCGAGGCCTTGTGCATGATCAATCGGGAGGACAATAAGGACTGGATCACATGACACGTGCATAACAATGATGACGATCGTGATTGACAACGTCACTTAGTGATTAATCCACAAGAATCACCGTTGACTGGATCGTGGTGGGCACACGGGAGGGGTGATCAAGAGGACAAGACTCTACTTTGTGCATTCAGCACATTGTTAATTGGATAATGAATGTATAACACGTGGGGTTAAGACGGATACATAACTTTGGAACGAACACTTGATCTGGATTAGATGATGGATCATTACGAGTACACGAATACGAGGGATACATTACGCATTATGAAGATATCACACAGTGAATTGGGCTACGATACGCGTCGACAATGCTTATGACACACGACTTATGAACACGACCGCATGGTGGAAATGATCGGAATAAACACACGGACAGATTGAATTGTGAATTTATGAACGTACGGGACACCGACTGAAATAACACGCACGTTAACGATGGCCTATTAATGAACACGTGGCGCATGGATGAAGTGGCTCGTGATGGACACGTGAACAGATGGTAGATGATACAAACATCGCCCACCTTATAGCCTTTTAACAGACTGTGGGGGGATCGTCTAATGACACGTGCGGTGATGTGTGTGCACGCACTCACCGCTCTTGCCCCGGCGTATCGGTTCCTTTGCCGGTGCGTCGCTGCCACATGGCACCCAAATCTTCTGTAGCCTCGTCTGCGTCAACTCGCGCGGCATTGTCAAGCTAAGAAGAAGCTCTCTCTCGAACCCTTCCACTAAAACAATCTGCTATGTCCTTCCTTACAGCCTCGACGACTCGTTGTGAAGAGCGCACCAAAAAAAAAGAGAGAGAGGCCTACGTGGCCATACACCCTCGCGAATAAGAAAATTGCGTGCTCGCGTATTTAAGACGCTGCTGTTGCTGCTGCTGTTGTCTCTCGCTCAGTTACCGCTCGAGTCTGGCTTGACCACTGCTGTCGCCTCTTGTGCCGGTGGACAATTTATAGGGCGAGCGAGCGAGCGAGAAAGCAACCGGATGGGGGAGTGGAAGGGGCATGTCCCAAGGGCCCCCTTTAGGATGTGCGGACGCCCGGCACCCACGTGGAGACGACGGGGTGGGCTGCTGGGGGCTGGTCGAGCGGGCACCGTCGGTGCACGTGCGGCGCGGCTCCTGCTCTTGGCACCGTAGCGCACGTGCACGTGGCGCGCACGTGTTCACCCCCCCCCCTCCAACCCCGTCCACACGTTAAACTGCGGTCAAACGCAAACCGGTTTAAAGCAAACGAAGGCAAAATTTTTTTTTTTAAAAATCGAACGTTTATAAACGGCCTTAACTAATTTGTTCGGGACAATTAGCAAAATTTGTTTTATAATTTTTAAGAGATATATTTAAAGTGGTACGCGCCGTTATCGCAACAACACCCCCCCGCCCCCTCTCGCGTGCTCGATGTGGTACGGTCCGCGTGCCGGGCGTGTGCTCGGGTGACGTCACGCGTTGGGAAAAGCGGGAGGCCCCGCCCACCGCGTGACGTCACGGCTCCTGCACGGGGGCTGTTCGACGGCCTCCCGGCTCCATGTGGCCACGTGGCCGACTCGTGCCTTTTTTGACTTGGCCCAGTGCACGACGTGTTTGTTGTTTGTGCGGCTTGAGTTGTTTGGCTCGCGTGTTGCTTTGCCGCTTTGTTGACGCTTAAAAATCATGACTCATGAGCACAGGTTGCAGTTTTGGTCATGTGCATAGCTTGAACTATTGAGACGTTATAACCCAATAAAGTGCCAGTTGAGACAAGGCTGTTTTGTAAAAGACATTTGACAAACAAATCGTCTAAATTCTAGATTTGAAGCTTTCGTGACTACAAGGATTCATACTCTTAGTTCTTTCGGTAAAGTCACGTAGGTAAAAAATGAAATTAAAATGAATAAAAATAAAACAATTTTATTTTTATTGAAATTAAAAAAAAAATTAATTTCATTTTTTACCTACGTGACTTTACCGAAAGAACTAAGAGTAAATCGTCTAAAATGTTCGAGATTTTTTATGTATAATTTAAACTGGCAGTATAACTGTAGTCTTAAGAGCCCAATGATGTATCAGTGAGATGGTATTTGAATCACATTGGACGAATAATACATTACCAGTTCATTGGTAAACAAGATGTAAAAATAATTGCGATGCTCAATGGAAATACATGACCATTCAAATTTCGCTTGGCTTAGCATCTAAATGCAATCACATTTGAAGGCACTACAAAATCGTGAGCATATTTGGCACAGAGGTTATATTTACCAAAAAAGAACAAACTGCCCTTTAATTGTATACATTGTGTCTTAGTGTGCTGGCAGTGATGCACAAATAACAAAAACATTTGTCAATAACACTGCCTTAAAATATATATAATATGCGACGTTTCGGGCTATGGTCCTTCACAGCATATTGGTAAACAAGTGTTCGTGGAGGAATCGCTGAACTGCAAGAACGCTCGCGAAGCCCTCACGTGGCGAGCAGACCACTCAACATTGGAATTTAGCTCCTGAACATCTTTCATTACGCAAGAACAAAACTGTGTATATACTTGGTTCTTTCGGTAAAGTCACGTAGATAGAAAAAAATAATACAATGAAAATAATGAATAGAAAATAATTAAAGCAAAAAACCCACAATTAAATTTAAAACATAGTTAAATAAAATTTAAACTACTGAAAGTAACACAACAAAATAGCTAAATACTGCCCTCTAACGGTCAAATTCTAATGCATTGCATAAAGCTCCAGAAAAGAACACAATAACAGCCTTCAAAATACAATTAAGCAGGCTTGCATTCACCATTTGTTACTTTCACTACTTAATAAAGGGGGTTATAGCATTTAAATGTGGAATATGTGCATCTAAAGCGTCTATGTTTTTATTTAAACAATGAAAAAACATCCATTGAATTAAACACATGTCAACTGGTTTGTCCAATACGTCAGAGAAACATCGGGTTAGTGTATTGCTTTGGTCCATATTCAAACGTTTTGATGACTGTCGTTAGAGAAAAACAATACGTTCATTCAAAATTATTCGCTAATTCGAATAGTAAAAACGTGGCTTTGTGAGAAAAAAAACATCTCAAGTGCCCAACCGCGCGCTGAGAATCGATTAATTTAGCAACCATACACGAATCGATTCCACCACGACACTCCATAGACCCTTCATGGTCCGATTTGGAATCGATTCCGTTGATATTTTAATCGAGAGAATCGATTCCTTCACCAACACGTCACCCTTCGTGGGGTCGCACTCCGGCGACAATGGCTGAGATGCAGGCGGCGGCATCGGCGGTGGTGGTGGTGGAGACGGGAAGAGACCAAGTAACTACGGAGCAGCAGACGCGTGACCTCGACCTGGTGTCCGTCTCGGGCCTCACGATGCCCGCCCACGTCGCCGCGTTTGTGGACAGCGAGTTCGGCGCCGACACCAAGAAGCTGAAGCGTCTGGGCGAGATTCTGGGCGGCCTGGGCTCGCAGAGGGCTCGGCTCATGGAGCAGGTTGGCCAAATCATGACAAACCCACACCACCATCATCACAGAGGTCGCAAACGGGGTTTGATTCCTTACCCGTACCCGGCCGCACCAGGGTCGCAAACGGGTACCCGTACCCGGCCGTACCCGTACCTTACCCGGCCGGGTACTGGTATCGGGTACCTGATTGCGACCTCTGGGATGAAGCCATGTTGCAGGCGCGGGTGGGTTGATTCTAGGAACTTGAATTGTGAGAAGAGACAAGACGTTGGGAAATGAGTGACAAACAGTTACTCACCAGTGACTCACGGCCTACCCGTACCCGGCCGCACCAGGGTCGCAAACGGGTATCGGGTACCCGGTTGCGACCTCTGGGATGAAGCCATGTTGCAGGCGCGGGTGGGTTGATTCTAGGAACTTGAATTGTGAGAAGAGACAAGACGTTGGGAAATGAGTGACAAACAGTTACTCACCAGTGACTCACGGTCTACCCGTACCCGGCCGCAACAGGGTCGCAAACGGGTATCGGGTACCCGGTTGCGACCTCTGCATCATCAGCAGCAGCATCACATCCTCTTGGGTTTTCGGTGGCCCATCGTTATTCGTAACCCACCGTAGTCTGCAGAACTACACTGACTCGCACTCTTAAGACTGATGGCCTTAATCTAAGTTGTCTTGTGGTTGTTGTTGTTTGACTTGCATCCCACTGGGATTTTTGCACACAGCGTTGGTGTACGGTGTTTTTTTCTGCAATATTTTGCTGTCTTTTCTTAGATTTTCTGTTTGCACTTAGTCACATATTCACTTTAAGATGTTTTCTTGTTCATGTTTTTTGTTTGTTGCGGTTGCACCCGATTCAAGAGCCGAATGGTTCACAGGGCTTTACCTAATACATGAACTTTGAACTCTCGTCCCTGATGCCCTCTCCGTCGCGGCTAGCAGCAGATCTCAACATTTGGCACCTTGATACTGAACCTTATTTGCCATCGTACGCACGAATAGAATAGCGGGCACAGGGTGCTCATTGTACCGTGATTCCGAAATGCTGCCCTGTATTACACGGTGAGGTAAACAGGACAATGTCCGGTGTGAGTTAGAAGTTACACGTTTTGTTGATGATAGAAAAGACGGTAAAGTTAGGGTCACCTGGGCCGTTAGAGCGTTTTGGAGACTTCACTGTCGAACATTTCAATACATTGACACTGCTTTGACAGCACGAGTGCTGTGACGGCTGACCATGGCCTATCTTTTATTCTCTCAGTCCCAAAAAATATAATTCGGGTCAAACAGCCCAGGAAGCATTCAAATCTATGAATGGTCGGACACGTAACTTCTTTCGCACCGTACGTAGCCAACCGTGCCATGTGGAGGTGCGGGGCATGGTTGGGCAACTATCGACCACAATAAATGTTGTGTCCCCGCGTGGAATGCTTCTACAGGTGGTGGCGGTGGCTTTAGGCAGGTCTTCATGCAGCAGTGAAAAACGATCGTGGCTGATGATGATGACGACGACGATTGCACACGGTAGGCCCACCGTCAATCAATCAATAACATGTGCGGGATGTTGGCGCAGGTGGCGACGGCACGCTCGGAGGTGCCACGCCGGTTGGAGCGGGCCCTGCACGAGGCCGAGGCGGCGGTGGGAGAGTTGGAGGCCCTCCGAGAACGGAGGGAGCGGCTGGCCCATGAAGTGGAGCGACACGTGGAGGAGACGGCGCCGTGTGCCGAGCCAATCGCACGGCTCATCGGGCAGGTGGACGAGTTGGAGGGTTACCTGTCCTACCTCAAGTGGATCTCGCAGATCGAGGAGCTTAGGTGATGAGCCGCTGATGTGTTGTCACTCAATAAACCGCACTAGATCACGTACTATAGTGATAAGAATATTGTTTTGTCCTGTCCTTGTCAATCCATTACTGGATGAATATTCTCCCCATGTCATCTTTGACGTGGGTTTTGTAACCACATATCATACGACGTTCGTGTAGAGAGCCGACTATAAGTTAAATTATACATTCACAACTGATGTTAGCCACAGTCATTGATTCTCATGAACTTTACCCCTTGATGCCTTGACCATTGTGCAGAACTTCTACCAGAATGACGGTTTCCTCTCATCCATACTCTTTTCTCACAGTGCTTGAAATTGGACCCCTCTCCAATAACATATTTTTCTGAGTTACTATAAGCTTGCTCGATAAAAAAGGTTAATATCTGAGATACAATCATATATGCTCTTAGTTGCTGGCTGCTCTGCTTGAATTGAACTATGAGGCCTCTGTTCAGGATCTATAGCTACAAAAAATATCTTGCTAATACTGAAATCTTTCTGTTAATGACTTGTTCATGTGTGTGTGCATTTTTACACTGACTGCTGCCAATGGCATTGTGGCCGACACGCATAGTGACTCGATACAGCAGCACCTGATGACCAACAGCATTGGGGAGGCGCTGGAGAAGCTGGTGTCGATGTCTGAACTGGACCGGGTGCTGCAGCCTTCGTCCTGCACTCACCTGCGACGCTTCGTGCGATCCACGCTCGTCTTTTGGCATAAGATCCTCCGCGAGAAGCTCACCAAGTGAGGGGCAGATCTATTATATAATTGAATCAATGTCATGGTTCCCTTTGCTGCATGATATAACCCACCAGCCTTTGTATATAATGAGGACCTACATAGTCATACCTGTGTAGGTAATTT